TTTAGATATTGCTACCTTACCGTTGATTGATAAGAAGTCCTATCATTGGATGTGAAGGGACATGCATGGGTCATCATATAATCATAGAATGCAATGTTGTGAGATACCTTAGCAATTTTGTAAGGGTCTAAGATCATTTACCGAAGGCAACATTCAAAGGGTCATCGAGGGACTATGATCTTGTTTTGATTGTTTTTTGCTAAAGTATCCCACATTCGCGTAACATGACTATTTATTCTCAAGGTAACATGTGAGGTTAACCCTAGAGGTGCAAGTGTACAAAGTATTTTGATTTCATACATTTTTGTCTTTTAATTAGGGTTTTCTACTTGTTAATTTTCTGTCTTGCCATACAAACCCTAATTACTAGCATTTATATGAAAGCGATAAATTGCAGATATAAATATCCTACGCTATTACATAATTTGGGGATGGGGATTCAAATTACAAATGGGGAGCAAATAATTAAACCTAATTACTATTACAACCATATTGAATGAATAATAATGTTCAAGAATGAATAAATGTACAATAATGAATAAATGGAAAAGAAAATTGATTCTTTTTTTTGTTAAAAAAGTTTTTGACCTAATTGACTAAAAGGAAATAATTAACTAGTCTAAATTATTTTTAAAGAAATTAAGCCTAAGTTATAAAAGAAAAGAAATAAAATTAATCAAGAAAGCCTTTTAAGGGTTTTTATGAAAAGGTTTTATATTAATTTTAATGAAAATAAACCTAAGTCTAATTAATTTATGAAAAAAAATTAATTTGAAATAAGAAAATATTTTGTATTTTGTTTTAAAAGAAATAAAATACAAGTATATAAAGTATAAAAAATAAATAAAAATATTTTTGGCTTTTTATTAACAAAAATAATAATGATAATAATATTAAAATAGTAATAAAAATAAAAAAAGAAATAAAATAAAATATATAAAAGAAGTAAAGTCACAGGGTGTAAAAATGAGTTGAGGTGTGGTTTTGAAGTAAAACAGTTTTCAAGTTTGGGCTCAATAGCATTTTCGTTATCTGAATAAAAATGAAATAAAAAAGGAACAAATGGACTGCGCTGCAAATAGAAATGGAGGGGGGGGGGTCATATATAGAAAAATGATGCAAGGCCCAGTGTATAAGGCCCAAGCGCGCTGTTTCTTGACAAAAAAAGAGGAAAATAATGAAAAAGTTGGAAAAGGGCAGCGCTGGGGCTCGAACCCAGGCCCTTAGCAATACGCGCACGCTTCCTTATCAATGGGGTGGCTATACATCCGGTATCAAAAATGAAACCATTATATTATATTACAAAATCATTCTTGGGCTTGCACTTCATCTTCTTTCTCGCGCCATCTTCAAAACTTCATTTTTAAATCTGTAACTTTCTCATTTCTCAACAAAAATTAAAACTGTAAACAAGAAAGTTGCTCCATTTTTCCTCACGATTCCAGAAATGTAAATTACTAAAACTATAAATTAAAGATAAACATGAATTTTGAATGGCACCAAATCTGACCTAATTTTTTCCAGAAAGCTCAACTCTAAAATTCTCACTACTCAGTCAACATTGATGAAATCTAAGAACATGGTCATCTTCTAGGCTATGATGTCTACATTTTATCTTTGAAAATGGAATCCTAACAGTGCCTATATGAAGAGATTGAAAGTGAGAAATTTTACCTCAAAACTGGAAATCGTGCTCTACAAATGAGCTTGATTCAAGTTGTTATAATGATTAGGTTATCTTCCTTGAGTCCTTAGGAAGCTATTCCAATGGTTACCTTGAGTTGAGAGTGCTTGAACTGGCCCGGAGAAGTCAAGATGCAGACCTCTATTTTTGAAAATGGAGGATGGTCTAAATGGTATTACAGTTTGAAAACAGGTATTGTGATGGTTTATATTTGAGGTAAGGAAGCTTTAGAAATTATTTGGCTAAGAAACGCACGAGGGAATTGTGAGTTGGGTGTTCAAAAATCAGAAATGACACAAGAATGAATGTTTTGTGCAATTTCTGGCTTGAGGGAGTTTGAGAGTGTTTTTAGGGCTTGTAATCTCGTGTCTTAGCTTGCAAATTATATGTCAATTTATAGAGAAAAAGTTTGAGAGCTTGAGATGATCAGAAGTACAAGATCACATGTTTTGGCTTCTTGACTTGTTTTTGAAGCAAGGTTGACAAGTATGGTTTCAATGCATAAGTACATCATTTATAGGGTGGCTTAAAAGCTTTAAACATGTTTCTTCTGAGCATACATGTTGTGTGTGTTCATAACAACAAGTTAGAGGCTCAAGAAGATTGGACTTTGTGATTAAAGCCACTTTTCCAAAATGACAATGTTGCCTTTCTTCCTAAAATGGTATTAAACATGGACAATGCATTGAATGATTGGATTAGGACATAAAAATTTGTGTAATCATATTACTAAATGTAGATTTATGGGCTAATGGAATTATAGAACAACATTATGCAGCATGTTGAGCATTGGATCAAAGATTCTTCATGAAGAAATGACTTGAAAATCAAGATTGGATGCCTAACTTATCCTCTTCGACTCTCTTAGCTCAAAAGTGATCTCTTCAAGTTATTGGACATTTTAGAAATATTGAAACATCCTATTAAACTTTCATATTGACCATTTTGACAAAATCATCTTGGAGCTTGGTGAAAATTGGCCAAGAAGTTAGGTCAAAAATCTGCCTAAACTAGGTCAAATTTTCTTTAAGTGTTTTATGAAAAAGTGCATCTCTTCATGAATTTATAACTCAAAATACAAGAATTTCTAGGACTTGATCAGTAAAACAAAGTTTTAGTTATTATCAAGATCTACAACTTTCATGTTGAAAGTTTTCCTTGAATCAATTTGCATCATGGTGAAAAGTTGGCATGAAGTTATGAAAAAAACCATGTTTAAAACACTTAGAAAAATTTCTAAGTCTTGGAAAATTTGACTTTTTTCAAAATGAATCTTGACTTTCTTGATTTCTTGATGATCAAGATTCTTATTTTTGAATTTCTTGATGAAATGTGATCTTTGCAACTCAATTTTGATCAAAAAGTCAAAGTTTGACTTTTGGTGTATCAATTGACTTTTCATCAGTTGACTGAATTTCAACTATCAATCAATTGATCTTGGGAAATTAATTGGACCATGCAATTAGGTCAAGATGATGCATTTGAATCCTTGATATCATGTTTCAAACCAATAAGTCATGTATTAGGTTAAAAGTCAAAAATCAAGCCTTCTCAGTCAAAATCCTAATTTTGACCATTTTGCCCTTTTGATAATCTGAGTAATTTTCCTGGGGAATTGTGATCCAAACTTGATAAAATGATACATATGGATTCAAAATGTTGATATGGGTCAAAAATCTTAAAGTTTGTCTGTAAGTTGACCACAATTGAATTTTTACGCAATATAGTTGATTTTAGATCATCTGATCAATTAACTGAGCAAACTTGAACTACAAGACTTGAAACTTGACATGATCAATATTGAAAGTCCATGATGATCCATGAAAGTCATATGAGGCATTAAAAGTCCAATTGTACTTGTGAAAACTCAAACCCTAATTTGAGGCATCAGTGTTGAGGAGATGTCTTGACCTAGTCAATCCTTGTGCAAGCTTGACCTATTGAAGATCTTATGGGAAATGTCTTGAGAAATGAGAGGGAAACTTTTGGGGTACAACAGCAAGTAAGGATCAAAACCAAACCCTAAACTTCTACTAATGGCATGTGAACTTTCAATCAAGTAAAAGAAGAAGGGATCATAGAAAAATGGCATCAAACCATACAAGTCAGAAGAAAATGTCCTATAATATCACACATTTAATCATCACATGTATTGAGAAGAATTAAGCATAGAAATCTCAAAGGAGAAAGACAAAACTAGGAAAGAATGCATGTTCAACTTCACACAATTAGAAACATGACTAAATATGCACAAAAGGACCTATAGATTTAAGTGATAATGCTTTAACTCATGGTATATAAAGTGAACACAAGTGGGAAACAAGACCCCTAATGGTTTCACAAATGCATCCCTGATCATTCAACTTTGCACACAAGTATCAAAAGGAATAGACAAGCATTGAATTGCACATGAAAAATAGTGAGAAGCTTGAAAAACTTATGAGAAATTAGTCATGGGAAGGTGAAGTCAGAGGCTCAATGTGTCCTAAAAATATGCTTAAAATTGTGTGCAAAAGATGTTCAAACATTATCAAACATTAAGCAAAGCACAAAGTATGGACCACATAAAACAAGCTTAAAAAATGAATCAAAAGTGAACCAAAATAAATGCTAAAAAATATCAAACCAACACTCAAAGATCCTATATACATGTGCCTACATTTTCACAAAAATTAGTGTCAAAAATCAAAAGGAATCAACAAGAACAAAACCCTAATTTACAAACTAAGTCAAATTATACACACTTGATCATAAAATCAGAATTAAATGTCAAAACAATTTAAAAATGAAAATAAAAATTATAGAAAATTAAATAAAACATCAAATATTGTTCATGAATTTTTTTTGGTAATTTTTGGATATTTAAAAGTATTAAAATAAAATTTAAGAATAAAAGGAAATAAAAGAAAATCAATGATAAAATAAAATATGTGGAAACAAACAATGGCGCTTGTTAGATAAAAGCCCTGCAAAAACTATTTTCCACATCCAATTAAAAAGTGACACGCTTGCTGGAGACCACTATATTTATTTATTTGATTTTTCTGGTTAAATAAAGAGAGTGTCACGCTGAATAACAAACAAGTATGTGGACATAGTGTTAATTGGTCAGCTTCATTTTAAGTGAATAAGACAAAAACATGACCAAGCCAATAGCTGCTTGCCATAAGTCCTTCTTCAACCTCCATACTTTTGTACAAACCAGAAAAGGTGAAGAAAACAAAACCTTAACTCAGCATCATCGATCAATCTTTACACAACAATAACTTCCTCATTTCTTGATGAAACTTAAAAATGTAAACATCAAAATTAAATTATGAAGAACAAGGAACAACATAGGATCAAGAGTTTTCAAAAACAAGTAAGTAATCATGGAGATATTCAAGCGATAACATATGGATCAAGCATATTTCACAAAACTTCAAACATAAACTACACACAATTTTTGAGCGTATCTCTAGTTGCCACTATTAAAGGGCTTCAGATGCAATGTGTATGAAAAACTCTAAGCAATTTTTCAGATCTAAATGAGAGAGATGAAGAGTGAAGTAAGATTACTTAGTGGAGAGTGTCCACTTCACTTTGATATTATTCTAGCATCCGAAACCCAGTTGTTTTTGTTGGATACTCTTTAATAAGCCTCAATAAAGATGAAGAAGAGAACATATCTGAAAGAATATAGAGGTCTTAAAAGAAACTTGCTTAAGGATGAAATTTCTTCAGATCCACTTTCTCTCTCTATTTTCGTGTGTGTGTGTGTGAATGGAGTGAATGAGATTAATATAAAGAGTGTGTGAGGTGAGTGTGTAAGTTAATCATGATTAGATTTGAACCAAGGGGCAAGTTGGGAACGAATGGCCAAAAGTGAGGTGATTATGAGAGAATGTGTATTGTGTGGCTTTTGGTAGCATTCTTGTAAATTTTATTCTCCAAATTGGCTCAAAGTACATTCCCCAAAAGGTGGTACAAAGAGGTAGTGGAATGCTTGAGGTACAAGGAATTTTCTATTTCGAGCAATTTTGTACAAAAGTGATGAAATCAATTGCATGAGCTTGCATGGGTGTATTTGGAAATTTCTTTGAGATGGTACACGTCCCAAATGAGTATTGGGCTTGATTAGAAACCACAAAATTTCCTAAAAGCTTGAATTGACTGAAATAGCAACTTGCTTGCCAAGAAGAAAGACCAAAAGTGGCCTATAATCCTAAACATTACAACTTGCTAAATTCTTAATATAAATTCATGATCCTGGACTTTTTGGAAAGGTAAAACGATTCCCTACAACTTTCATGTCGGAAGAGTTTTGATTTGAGAATTAGAAACTCATGAAAATTGGCCACGAAAATTCTGGGCTTAGAGGGACCAAAATGACTTGGCAAAAATTCTCTAAGTTATGAACTTCTTCTCCTTTAAATTTTCAGACATGAGCTCACAAGGAAAAAGTTGTAGTATGAAACTTTTCCTATCAATTGAATAAAAGTTTTTGAATTTCTGATTAAAAATGAAGAAGTTAAGACCTTTTGAAAAGTGGTAAATGAGCATAGAAATCTCATACTTAAAAAAATTTCTAAGTATCAAAAGTCAAACTTTGGTCAACTTTCTGATTTCCTTGATTTTATTGATTCCACTTGGACAAATCTCAAGCCTTGACCATATTTTAATTGTAGAAACCAAAATTGATCTCAAAAAGTTAGGAGTTGACTTTTTTTTATTGTTTAGTTGACATTTCCCCATTTTAGTTGATTCACAATCATCTAAGCAATTGGAACTCTTCTGAGTAAAATTGATGACCAAATTTCCACCCATAGATACTTAGGGACATGTAGAATGTCATGGAATCAATATTTGCTCAAAGAATCGGAAATAAATTGATTTTAAAATAAACCCTAATTTCAGTTGAAAATGATAGGAGATGATGTCTCAAGCTCAAAACCCTAATTCCTCTAGTCATGATGGAGAATCTTTTGGCCAATGATGTCTTGTATGAAAATAAGATGATAGTTCTTCAAAGACAATCCCCATGGAGGTTTCACACACTCAAATAATCAAAACCCTAGTTGTGAGCCAACAAGTTAGGAGATGATGACCAATGATCAAAACCCCAATCCTTCCGTAATTCTTGGAGAAACTTTTGCACAATAAGAGCTTGCATATAAAAAGGACACCCGTGAAGATGAGACCCAAATCTTCTAAGCCTTTGATTCACAAATCTCTTATTCTATTACTGATAAACACACAAATCTAAAACCCTTGATCCCACACACAAGACCAATGATATGCATATGTATGTATGATGGTGAAGCATAAGCTTAAGATGTGAGACACAAGAGGGAAAAGTTTGGGGTACAACAACTGCTCCTATTCGATCTTCTTAAACCTGAGGGTGAGATTGGAACTAGCCTTTCAAACATTCAAGGTAGAAGAGGATTGAATACAATAGAACCGTAATTTGCACTCCGGGGAACAAAAGAAAGTAAGATATTTTTGGGTTTTCTATATTTTGTTTTGTTTTTTTAGAAAGATGGTCACCCGATGGTGGAGTTTTAGAAATGAACGTCGAACCAAGGCGAACTTACCCTAAAAAGAATACTAGCCGGAGGTACACTCTTAACAAAGATGCCAATGAATCATTGGAAACATATGTCAGGCCGAGGGAAGACATATAAAGGAAAGAGACCAAACAAAAATTGGAACTATGCACCAGGCCGAGGGAAGGCATATAAAGAAAAGAGACCAACTGAATATTGGAAATATATGTCAGGCCGAGGGAAAACACATAAAGGAAAGAGACTAAATAAATGTTGGAAATATATGCCAGGCCGAGGGAAGGCATATACAGAAAAGAGACCGACCAAATGGGACTCTAACAAGGAATGCTAGCTGAAGTTAGACTCCTAAGAAAAGAACGCCGATCAAAGGAGAACTTATAATGTCAAGAAGACTAGACAGAAGTAGACTCTTAACAAAGACATTTGAAATATATGTCAGGCCTAGGGAAGACATATAAAGGAAAGAGACGAAACAAATGTTGGAAATATACGCCAGGCCGAGGGAAGGCATATACAAGAAAGAGACCGAGCGAAGGGGACTCTAACAAGGAATACTAGCCGAAGGTAGACTCTTAAGAAAAGAATGTTGATCAAAGGCAAACTTAAAATGAAAATAAGACTAGCTGGAGGTAGACTCTTAACAAAGATATTGGAAATATATGTCAGGTCGAGGGAATACATATAAAAGAAAGAGACCAACTGAAAAGGACTCTGACAAGGATTACTAGCCTAAGGTAGACTCCTAAGAAAAGAATGCCAACCAAAGTCGAACTTACAAGGAAAAGAAGACTAGCCAGAAGTAGATTCTTAACAAAGATATTGGAAATATATATCAGGCCGAGGGAAGACATATAAAGGAAAGAGACCGATCGAAGGAGACTCTAACAAGGAATACTAACCGAAGGTAGACTCCTAAAGAAAGAACACCGTTCAAAGATAAACTTACAATGAAAAGAAGACTAGCCGGAGGTAGACTCTTAACAAAGATATCGATAATCATTAGGAGTATATGTCAGGCCAAGGGAAGACATATAGAGAAAAGAGACCGACCGAAGGGGACTATAATAAGGAATAATAGCCGAAGGTAGACTCCTAACAAAAGAACACCAACCAAAGGCGAACTTAACTAGGGATATAAATAGAAATTAAATTTGAATAGAACGCCAAACGAAGGTGAACTTATAAATGAAAAAGAGACCAGCCGAAGGGGACTGTGGACAAGGATTGAAAACCTAAGTTGGGCTTTTAAGAGGGTACTGATGTTTGCAAAAGTACAAGAACTACATTATCTCTCAGGCCAAAGGTGGGGGTATAATTCCTCAAGAGTGGCAATTATCTAGACTGCTAAATACCAAGTAGGGCTATCTAAATAATTGAGAAGCGAGAAAAGTTATACACCAACTCTTACTCGCACCCTAACTACAAAGATCAAACACATGTAAAAACACCGAGAACTCTTGCAAAAGGCAATAAGGATCAACGACTCTCTAGGGAAAGCGAAAATACAACAAGACTCGAATGGGGATAGAAATCACAAAGGATCGTACTGGGGAAACATGACGGGACCCCTATAAGGCAAGATGCTTGGTATGCAAAAAGCCTGAAGTAGAAATCTTTGGAGAAACATATTGGGGATGTCATAAGGATAACCTGTGGGGGTTACTCCTCTTATGGGTATATAATGTAACGCCCCTTTTTATTTAATATTATATTATATTAATATTTTCGAGTTACCGTTTGACGTTTATTTTTGCGACGAGAATATTTAAATTAACCGTTATATCTGTTAATATATTCGGCGACGTTTTATTCGGACTGATAATTATTTTATTCGGTCTGGTATTTATTTTGAGGGACCGGTAATTATTTTATTCGGTCCGGTATTTATTTTGAGGGACCGATAATTATTTTATTCGGTCTGGTATTTATTTTGAGGGACTGGTAATTATTTTATTCGGTCCGCTATTTATTTTGAGGGACCGATAATTATTTTATTCGGTCTGGTATTTATTTTGAGGGACCGATAATTATTTTATTCGGTCCAGTATTTATTTTGAGGGACCGATAATTATTTTGTTCGGTCCAGTTTTTATTCCGTTCGGTTCAGTAAAATATTATTCGGACCGATATTTAATTATTTGGAGTTATTTTAATAATTTGGGTTAATAATATTATTTAGTATTATTTGGTGTTATGAGGTAGTATTTTACAAGAAGGGTTTTTTTGGGTATTTTGCTAGCTTATGTTTTGCATCTAAACAAACAAAACCCACAATTTCCTGGTTTTGTGTCATAACACTAGAACACTTAGAAGCATAGAGAGAGCTAGAGAGTCTTGGAGAAGAGAAGAACAAGAAGAACAAAGCTTGGGTTTTGGGTTGGTTGGAACATCAAGAATCATTTCAAGTATCTAAGGTAAGGGGTTTGATTTTCCAATGCTTATAGTTAGGGTTTGATTTGGTATATTTTGGATTTGGGGAAAAATTGATGTTAGGGTTCTTGAGATTTGTTGAGATAGAAATTAGAAGAGTTAATTAGGTGTTTTTGTTGTTGTTGTTGAATTAGTATTAGGTTAATTGAAATTGGAATGAAGCAAGAACTAGCATTATATTAAGTATTAGTAATATGCATAATTTAAATGAAGTTTAGAAACTAGAAGAACTAGTAGCATATTCATTTAAATGAAGTTTTGAAACTAAAATAATAAAATAGCAGTATAGTTAAGTTGACTAAATATGCAGTATAGTTTAGTTAAAACGAAAAATAGCAGTATAGTTAAGTTAACTAAATATGCAGTATAGTTTAGTTAAAACGAAAACTAGCAGTATAGTTAAGTTAACTAAATATGCAGTATAGTTTAGTTAAAATGAAATAGCAGTATAGTTTAGAACTAAAAACTTGCAGTATGTTATTATATGAAGTTTAGAACTAAAAACTTGCAGTATGTTATT